ATGTTTTTAAGGATTTGGAATCAGCAGTAAAAGGTGTCCTACACCACAAAAGGTTAAAGAGGTTGTATGATGATGATAGCATACGAAAATCAAAGTTAATTTGAGGCACACCCCCTTTACGTGGAATTGCCGTTACGGGAAATCGAAAAGGAATTTGAGTCTCAAAACTTCAGGTTTTTCTATTCACAAGGCCGGAGGGTGCAAAAAAATTAAAAATCTATGACCTGTAATGTTGTAATGCATTTGTTGAGAGGCCACGCCCCCTTAACCTCAAACTGCCGCTACAGGAAAACAAATGAATTGGCAGGTCTCAAACTTTCAGGTTTTCAGTTCACATAGATATCTATATCACTGAGACAGTGTCCAAAACAAAATTTAGAAATCTATGACCCTGGTGTAATGCATTAATTGTTGAGTTGGCATAGAATGACTCAACTCTTAAAATCTTTCGTGATTTCCGATTATGTTATTGTGTAGTTTTCAACATAGTATCTAACTATGAAGGAGCTGAGTACTAAACCTGAAATTTGGTTTATAGGTAGATCTAATATATCTGATTAACTGAGGTAAATTTAAGAAAAGATTTTAACTTTCCACAAGACGATCTGTTGTTGAGAAACGTAACATAGGCATTTATCACTTTTATAGATCTGGTCCCAACTTTGAATATATGCCATTCAATTTTAATTAATTTCATCAGCCTGCGCTTGCATGTGGCTAGAGACAACTACACTTAGATAATACACCTGTAATATGTATATACCCATTCAATGGAAGCAAGGTGACCTTGAAAATCACAAAAAAATTTGCATCGTTAAACAAAGCGGCTAATTTGAGTGCAGATAACTTCAAAAGGGAAGGGATAACTGTTAATCTAAGGTGATATTTGTGAAATATGGCGACAACTATGTTAGAATACCAAGTTTGACTCTGACAGCTATTACAAATCTCGAGTTATAAGCTTCCAAAATTGAGGTAAATTGTGTTTGCACATCTTGAAGAACCACGCCCCATATTTTTGAGGAGTCAATATCTCGAAAACTACATATCCTATGAGGCTAATTTTTTTTTTGTTGGTTTTTAATACAGTGGATCATTTTTATGAAGTTTCATCAAAATCTGAGACGGTCATACAGGAATTTCTTTTTAATCTGGTTGATTTGACATGGAATGACCCTACAATAGGTCAAAGGTCAGAATGTACCGTTTCCGGTCACTATTTGAATATTTTTTTCATTAGGACGAATATAAACATGAATCTCCTGAACAATTTGCAATCAATTGTGAGTCTCTATGATCAGTAGTTACTGAGATATGACATTACAGGGTCAAAGGTCAAACTTTCAGAAACCGCATTTCCCGCCATTTTTTGATAAAAAATTGTATTACAACAAATAGGAACATGCATATTGTGGACAATTTGAGACCAAAATCAAGTCTCTCTGACCAGTGGTTATCGAGATACAAGCATCCAAATCAACATGCGGCCATTTTGAAAAACGCCCCCAAACGGGACTTTCCCCCAATATCTGGGAGGTATATAGGAGCTATATTTTATCTAAATTGGTCCATCTTGCCAAATCCATCGAGAAACAAAGGTATCCTAAAATTAGTCACGGATCTCATGAAAATGACTCTACTACATCATATCAACATCATCTTAATGGCAACATTATCACAACATCCTCTTAATGCCACTATCTTCTCAACTTCATCTTAATGGTACCATCATCTCAACATCTTCTTAATGGCACCATCATCGCAACATCTTCTTAATGGCACCATCATCTCAACATCTTCTTAATGGCACCATCATCTCAACATCTTCTTAATGGCACTATCATCTCAACATCTTCTTAAAGGCACCATCATCTCAACATCTTCTTAATGGCACCATCACCTCAACATCTTCTTAATGGCACCATCATCTCAAATTCATCTTAAAGGCAACATCCTCTTCCATCATCTTCCCAACATGTTCTTAGTGCCATCATCACCACAAACATCATATTAATGGCTACATCATCTAAATGGCAGCATCATCTCAACATAATCTTAATGGCACCATCATCTCAACATCACCTTAATGGCACTATCATCTCAACATCATCTTAATGGCAACATCATCTTAATGGCACCATCACCTCAACATCATCATAATGGCAACATCATATTAATAGCAACATCATCTTAATGGCACCATAATCACATCATCATCTTAATGGCACCATCATCTCATTGCAACATCATCATGTTAATGGCACCATCACCCGATCATCCTCTTAATGGTAAAATCATCTTATTGGCACTATGATCTATGGTGGAAAACTATACCAAGCTGGACAACAACCCAGTATTTTTCTGAGTCAAAATCATCTTAAAGGTACCTTACAGAATCAAAATTCAACTTGAATCAAGAACTAAATTTCCATAAATGATACAAACTTTTAATATCCAGTTAATGCCATGTTACAATTTATTGGGAAAATTGAGAGTTTACTAATATACAATGAAGTTCATGCATATAATCTACATACAAATATACAATTAAAATAACATGACTCGTCTACCCAATATGCAGGAAATACAGAAACGACTAACGTTCAAAAAAGGGAGTTGAACAAAAATAGATAGTGTAGTAGTAGGCAGGATGAATAATGCATAAACTGAAGAAAATGGACCTTTCTGGATTTTCAATGAAACTTAACAACTGACCAATCGGAACAGTGCTGGGAATACGCACGTGTCCAACAAGAACACGTGTGTCCCACAAACACGCGCGTTTACGTACACTTATGTTATTGTGGAAGGGGCTTAGCGGAAAATTTCAATCATTATTATTGTCTTTCATTAATGTTTGGTTTGTTGTTAAAGTTTCTTTCGATACCATCTGATCACGATAAACAAATAAAATCTTTAACAACTTGCGTTATTTATTAGCCATGTAGTAAACCTGATTTCTGATTTTTTTTTCCGCATTTTCTAGTCACAACTTCGAGCTAATACATCTGTGCTGTTAAAAATACGAACAATTTTAGTTGGCTTAATCAGGTTTCATTTCAGTTGCTTTCAGTTAACTTCTTCCAAAAAAAAAAAAAAAAAAAAAAAAAAAAAAAAAAAAAATAGAACTTTATATAATTGTGAATTCTAAAAATCTTTTCCCCAAAGGTTAAGAAGTACATAAGAGTGAGTCTATGAAATTAAATCATCTAAACGAATATAGTTTGATGCGGTGCTCCTTTTTCATTGCATCATATTCTGATGTACATAGCAGAAAACAGGGATATCAACAGGGCAGTGCAACGGCATGATAAAATACACATATGGTCTTATATCAATATTAGCCAATAACAACCAATCATAATTTACATATGCCTATTGTACAGGTGAAGAATAGAAAAATAGTCATGCCCCTTCACATCAATCCATGTAATTTCTGGACATCATACACCTAAAGATCTTAAGCCAGGCACTCACAGCGTCGTACAACAAATTCAACTACACTCCCTCTGAGCGCTAGACGATGCAACGCCATCTGCTGATTGTCGGTGCCAGTCTAAATGGATCATCATTAAAAACGCCGCTGCGTTCTCCATACATTCAGGAGCTTTTGCACGACGACGGTAGGACGTAGAACGCAATGACGTCAAATAAATCCATCTGCGCATGCGAGAACGTTCAAGTCTTGCGGTCGCATGGATTCTAGGACGCAATTTGCCAAATTTACATTTTGTAGTGAACGTATGACGGTCACGCATTTATAGGGGATTAGTTCTAGCGTTGCGTCATTGCACAAATTGAAAGCTTTCTTATAGCGTCGGCCGACAATCGTTGGGCGCATCAGTGACTGCCTGGCTTTACTGATTGAATTTTCATTTATAAATTTCAACTAAAGATCTTATAAACACAAGATTCAAGATTGCATTCTCCGTGATTTCTGCGTGCAAATAGGGAGCTTTTGATTTGGCGTCCTACGTTCTCTGCATATGTAGATTTGCCAAAATTGCGTTCCAAAATTTACTCCACGAGGTGACCTTGACGTTCTCGCATGCGCAGATGACTTTTAGTGACGTCATTATGTTCTACGTCCTACCGTCGTCGCGCAATCGAAAGCTCCCTTATAATACAGTGTATGGTGCCCTCTTGAAAAAAATGATTACTTTTCAACTTTGACCGCTTTGACCATAGCTTACACCCACGCGACTTCACCTTTACGCACAACAATTAGAAGCGATGATTTATAATGCATGCAATCTTTAAAACAAAAAAGCAACAAAATCGTACTTTGTGGTAACAAATTTTGGTGGGATGTGAACAACTTTCATGGCAACAACTAGGGCATCCTCTCCCAAAAGTGATTACTTTTCAGCCTATTTTTTTACGCGTAAATCGCGGAGAATGCTATCTTGTGTTTATAAGATCTATAATTTCAACTGAAGAACCAACAACTTAATCATAACCTCATAGACATGTTGTTTCACATTTCATGTTGTTGTATGGTACAAATATTGCGAAGCATCCAGTATACATTTATATGGAGCGGTTTCAAACCAAGCAATAAATTATTATTTAAATCCTGATCAAATCATTGGATACCTCATCATGTTCACAATTTTATGAAAAACAGTTGTTTTGCATTTTGTACAAGAGATTTACAATTAGAAATTCAATATTAAAAAAAAAAAAAAACATATTTGGTTAACACTAAAATAAGCTACAGTATTTCCCAAATATCGGCCATGTGCTGTAATATTCATTTATTCCATCATATTGCTATATTCTGTAATTTATATATAACAAAATAAATAAATAAATAAGTAAATAAATATATATTAACATGTTACAGGAATTTTGTTTTCAATTTACTTTATAAGTTGGGAAAGATGCATCTTTGACCTGAGAGAATGAGGGAAAAAAATAATAATATACAATGATATAAAGCAAAAATAATATTAAATATGATGTGTGAGAAACTGGCATTGGATCCATTGATTATAAATTATTTTTTATTATAAGTTTTATTATATTATTTATTACTGTAAAGTTAATGACTTAATATTTTTGGGAAAATGTAGAGTAAAAGTAAAATACTTGGTAGAGTAATACTATATGTTCATGCAATTAGTAGGATAATTAGTGATTTATTTATTTATTATTTTTGTAATTAACCATGTAAGACGCTAAAAGCTTAAACACTGTAATCAGATTAACATATGCTTATCCTTAATTATCCTAACTAAAGGTATTGTTTTACATAAGTTTGGTTTACAGATTTTGTCTTTTTTCCCAGGAGATGATTGTAAGTTTGTCAGGAGGAAAGGGACCCTCCTTGCCAAAAATCAAGTAATTTCTTGTACATTCGCTTTTACAAGACCAATAAAAGTTTTGTATTCTGTAAAAAGAAATTATATAATATTTGTTTTCCAGAGGTAAAAAATATTTTATTAAAATGTACCTTATTTAATTATTTCTCAAGGGTATTTACTTGTTTATAATTCCTCACACAAAATATACTTTGTTTTGGTCTTCGGCAAAAGAAATTTAATTGTTGGACTATAGGATCAACTTTAGAGGAAAGCGAGACTGTGTGGACTGCATGGCCACTGTGTGGACGAAAGCTTTTTGAGATTTGTCATTTCTGTTGTATAGCAGACTAACATGGCTTACACCTTTTATTTATCTGGCTGTCCATATAGCATTCCTGTAAGTCCTGTTCAAACTATCACATATTGTTTGAAAAAAAAACACACGGTTGTTTATGCCCATATATGGTCATTTTGCACCTATATATGGTCATGTGATGTCATCATGACCATATTTAGGCATGTCACATGTTTCTGTCAAAGAAAATTTGACAGACTGGACAGAACATTTTACCTTGAATAAAAAGAATACCATCAATTTTGACACTGATTCTTTAGGAGGTAAGGAGGTGATGGGAGATAGTGATGGAGATGAATAAGACAAGAGATAAAGGAAATGAATGATACAGGGGATAAGAGATGGGTAAAAAAAATGAGAAATGGGGAAAGTACTACGGTGAGGAAGATGAGGTACAGAGAAAAAATTAGACGTAAGGTGCAAGATGTGATAGTTGAAAGGGGTAAACAAAATATTAGTGATGGGAAGAAAGTTCAAAATGGAGACAAGATTGGAAAGGCAGTAAATGAAAAAAAGGATGAGATATAGGTAAGAAAGCTGAACATGGGAGAAAGACAAAAATGGTAGGGAAATGAGCGATAATAAAGAGAAGTGATTTAAAGAGGGATAGGAGATTTGAAATTAGGAGAGAAGAGGAGGAAGGAGAGATGGAGAGTGAAGAGAATGTGAAAGAGATGAGAGTTATATATTCTTATGTAATATCTTCCATTTTATCAAGATAAAACACTTCAAAATGTACTGTATTCTTAATATACATCTGTAAAATATATTATTAACTTATCTTTTATCAGGTCATCACTTTTGGCAGCACCAAACCAGCTTATTTAAATATTTACAATAAAAGTGATACTGTATCTCAATATTTGATAATACTGTATAGAAAAATGACCTCATGAATATTGATGACAATTCATTAATATTCATATGAATGCTAATGATGCAGACTAGAAACTCGCTTACCATTACTTTATGCACCAAATATTGTGAGTAGATAACTTTTATCTTGACAAATATTCACTAATGCGTGTGGACTGTACGCTTCAAATGCATACATATTACAAATAATTCACAGATTGAAATTATCACTATGCACTTTATTTAAATTTTAAAATGAATATTCAGTAGCATGTAAATTTTTATTTATATAGCAGTCATTAACTTATATAACTAATGACTTTAGAATTCCTTGTGAAGTACAGTCAAATATCACATTAACTGGAACTTGGATATTGCCAAATATTCACATATTTAATATGAATCTTAAATTGCCAAAGTTAAGACTGTTCTTCCATCCACATGTTATCTTATAAGCTAAGTTAAGTCAAACACTTAAATAAAAACTGTTTAAATGACAATATGAGTATTCAGAATACCAAGTTCACGGTGGAGCAGGTTGAAAGCAAGCCTAGATCATCCAATGCTTTATAATGCTTTGAGAATTATAAACCTGCTACCATAAATATAAACAGTTTTAAATACAACCGTTGTCTGGTTTCTTTTGTATATGTTAGGATTTAATGTTAAATCATGAAATAAAATTCTCAAATTTATAATCAGAGTAAGTAATTTGAGCTAAACTTTACATGTGGTTCAAAAAAATGCACTGATTATTTTTGGGATTCGGAGATTACAGAACTTTGTAGTCTAGAGTAAAGTAAATGTGAGATTCGACTGTAGATTTTAGGTAATACATTTAACACCCATGCTACAGTACACACCATCTGTGAAACTCTCTGTGAAATGTCACGTTCTCTGTGAAAATTAGTAAGACGAAATTCATACAGTAATCTTAACCATGCCATGCACGTTACCAGACGATGCAGATCCTGTTCGGTTGACCCGTTTCGGAGCACTGAAAACAGACGAAAATAAATATGTTACAATCTAAATGACAGCATGCATAGGAACATTGCAATGAGCACTACATAGACATTGATTAGTGGAACATGAATGCAACAATGAGAATAGGGAACTTTCAATATCTTTGACGATGCGTACTAGGCCAAATTTCGTCCTAGAATCAAGGCGAAGAGGAGAACGTAACGTTTTTCCATGTGCAGATGACTTTTAGTAACGTCACTACGTTCTATGTCCTACTGTCGTCGTGCAACCGAAAGCTCCCTAATTTTAACCAACAGATACAAGGGAAGTGAATTTAATTGTTATGGGAGTTATGAATGATGTCAATACATAATAAAACTGTACCAACAAAATAATCTTTGTGTTGCTCAAAATAAGTAGGAAGTTACTTGTTAGATAAAAAATATAACGGTAAATAAATTCAAAATTTAAGTTATTACTTTATATTAAAATGTTATGTTTTTCGGCTCAATCTTTTCAGTTTCAGACAACATAATTATAATAAAAGATATTATTAACAATCATTTGTAAGTTCATGCAGTACAAGACAGAAATTGGATCAAGATGGAAGTTACTGTAACTATTACAGTTTCTTGTAAACATGGAAATTATAAACACGAAGGTTGCACTATAACCAATGGCTTATTGAAACTACAATGGTGGCTGTAGTTGTTACAAAGGAACCTTCTTGTAACCATTGAATTATTTAGCAGTAACCATGGCAACTACATTAAAGGTTAATTATGAGCATCCATATTTTAGGTAACCATGGTTTTTAAACTCATGTGATTTTTTAATGAGTTACCGGTGGAACAGATCACACAATTATAAGAATACAAATATTAATGTTTCAACCAATTAATTACTATGAATATTAACTTTATCAACCAATTCATTATTAGAAATATTAACTTATTATGAATTATACTTGAGGATTGGATTTTTTTTAATGAGTTACTGGTGGTACAGATCACACAATTATAAGAATATAAATAACATCAACCAATTCATTACTTTGAACATTAGCTATATCAACAAATTAACAAATTAATTTAAAAAAAAAGTATTGGATTTTCAAAAAACTATACACTTACATACACATTACATAAACAGTCTTGTTTTAGATACATTTGTATTTCAATAATATTTCAATACATAAAAAAAAATCTATATCTATGCTAATTTTTGTGGTGTTTTGTCTTTTATTCAACACCCAAATCTACAACCATGCTTACATTATTGTATGCCATATTTGTTTACAATTTATAAAAATTTAAATTAACAAATATAATTTTTCACACACTAAAGTCTATTAAGGTACAAATGTTTAAGAAAAATTAAATATGTTAAGAAACCCATTATTTTTACAAAAATAAAATATATTAAACACATTTTAATTATAGAAATCAATGTTGACATAAAAAACAAATACAAATTTTCCCAAAAATTAAAAACATTTGAAATATGTAGCTTTGCTACCTTGGGGAGTCAACAGGGCTGGTTGCTTTACGGGGCTGCTCCCTCACAAAATTCCTACATGAAGCGAGCTTGTTTTCCAGGGCCTAGAAAGTGAAAAAAGTCAATGTATGTAAATGCTGAATATCATTAATGCAAATGCAAAAAAACATGATGAAAGCATAATAATTCAATAATAAACAAACTTTTTTTCAGAACAAACTTGTTCACAGGATTTAAACCCAGAACCTTTGAAAAGCCAACATCTTAACCACAAATCAAAATTGGGCAGCTCGCATGGTCAAGCATGCCACAAGATTTGAGTGTGTTACACCATTGTTGAAAGACTTGCATTGGCTACCGGTAGAATCATGCGTGCAATTTAAGACCTTACTGCTAGTTCGCCGCTGTCTAAATGGTTCTACTTCTAAACATATATCTCTGACTTGATAAACATCAAAGGCAGTTAGGTGAGAACTAAGATCTGGCCAACAAGTGCTTGGCGTAGACATCCCAAGGAGCAAACATAGCTGGGGAGATAAGGCTTTCAGAACTGCCAGACCAAGGCTCTGGAATAAACTTCCTTTAACCTTCAGTTGACAGTTTTAAGTCACTAGTCAAAATGCACTTTTTTAGTAATCTCTTTTTTCGAATAGCACCACAGGCAATGACTTTTGGAATGGCACCTTACAAATGGAACGATTGATTGATGGACATGCCTGCTAGCATTACTATTAGGAAAAATGTTCACAAATTGTTAATTGTTTGTTGCTTATCATATAAAACTTACCCCAACTTTCCTCAGTAGATCACCAACGATATTTAAAGCCGATATTCTTGCGGTAGGGGTCAGAGGTGTTCCACCGGGAGATACTAAAGGACCGCTTCGTATGCCTCCTAGTTGATTTGCTGGTATGGTTCCTGGTGGACAGAATAAAACAAAATATTAATGGAAATCTATAAAATTGCCTGTACAGTATACTATTATGTATGTTCTCTAGCCACTAAAATCATCCCTATCACTTCAAGAAATGCCCATGGTCACATCACTGAACTCCCTAGGTAATACTTAATTAAGTTGCTACTATTAATCTGGTATATGAACGTCCAGGCTACAGTACACCCCTAGACCGTGACCTCCCCCACTAAACTCTGCCAGGGAAGTGGAGACTCCCCTATCGGACAGTCTTTCCCCTAAAATATTGATTATCAGCCTTCAATACTTGGAATGCAAGTTTGTTCGTGCAGTAGTGTCTGTCATAAGTTCATAAAAAGAACAGCCAATTGGTACGCAAACATTTTGTTTAATGCTGATTTATGGGGTTGCTTTGCATCACTAGAGTTAACACAAACGGTGACAGAAGGTATCACTCCATCGACAAATATTTGAACTTACCTCTATTCTCACCTGGAGGTTCCTTCATGACCGACTCCAAAGCCTGTTGTGCCTCGTGCAACAACTTGTTGTCTGGTTGACTGCCCTCAACGATGTCCATCTTCTCCTCCTTCACTCGGTTGTTGTCTGGTGGCAGCTCCACAAGAGTCTCTCCTATCTTCTGCCTTATGGGAAGACTGTCAGTTGTAGCTAGTTCTGACCGTAAATCTGTAGCCAATGGAAAGCAAATGTTAGGATTATAAATAGTAAAGTCATGGTAAGGTGAGATTTTTTATACCTTCGTCACCAAAAAAAAAATTTCAGAATAAAAATTAAAGTTTTCTTTATTTTTATTAAGCCCACCACTGCCTTGAAATCTCCAAAAATAAGATATGTATATTTTTTACTAAATATATAAATTTAAAGGTATTTAACCATCCCATTACTACACCGTTTACATGCACCATTAACATTTTATTTTTATTTTCTACTCAGTCTGAATGTTTTTGGCAAAACTATTTGCTAAATGAAAAAGCAAATTTTTTTCCCTCTCTCCCTCGAAAAAAGGTATAAAAAAAGTCTCGCCTAATAAGAAGCAATTAAAGAAATTTATTATAATAAATAAAAATTAGACAAACAGTGAATCAATTTATGAGGAACTTGTTTACGATGGCAATCTGCTAAAAGATTAGGTGGTATTATGATGTATGTTACTTAAATGATGGTAGCAGCAGTAGTGTTGAGGATAGTACATTATTTTCATAATTTACGGTAACTGTTTAATAAAAATATTAAATTGATGATGGTCATAAAATAATATTATGATGATAATAAGTGACATTTACCCCAGAGCGCATACAATCAACCACAATTAAACAATACAATACAGTTGAAACATGACACAATAATAACAGAAATTTATCCTACAATGTACAATACTTGGTCTAGAAAACATACAGTATTTACAAAATTTGTCATTCAATTTGAAGCAGTCGAAGAGCTGGATTTTAAGGTGCGTAAAGGTAAATAAGGTGTTAGCATTCTAATCTATACGGCCAAAAAAAAATTGTTTGCCCTCCTCCACCCGCCCCTAACTCACTGAAAAACAAAAAAGCTTTTTTCTTTACTAATTAAAAAAAATGTGAGTGAATTGATCTTTTTTTTTTTGCCAGATGCCCTACAAATTAGTCTAAAGTTGTTGTCTGATGTAAGATATTGCCATTCTAGGCCTCTGTGGGTTATTTTTATTCCATCTATTGAGCATTAACAAAAATAAATAAATTTAAAAAAAACTTTTTCCACCCACCCCTATTTATCATTTTTAAAAAAAGGACAAACAAATTTATTTTTTTGGCCTAAGATGGAGCAGTACAGGAAAGTTATGACAATGTTGATAACAATGATGTTGACAACAATGATGATAATAATAATAATGAGATTGATCAAAGCGTTCCTACTGACCTCTTGCCTCATCTTTAAGTCGTTGGACGGTAATTTGCAAGCTCTCCTTCTCGTCCAATTCACTCTCAAGAAATGCATTCCTCTCAATTGCCTTCAAGAAAAAAACCAAACAATCTTATTTTTACATAGAGGTAACATTGCACTGATAATTTTTCCTCACTCTGCAATGGGAAATGTTGAGTCTATTATATATTGTCCATATATCCTGTGTTTCAACTTATTCATGCTATAGATTCCGAACATATTAATAGCTGTGCTGGTCATTTGGCACTTTGATGTTACGTTTCTTTTTCAGGTTTGATGAGTCAAGCTGCTTTTGTGTGTAAGGGTGGGGGAAGGAAATCATGTGTGAATTACATGATACCCTGTGATTGGATAAGAAGCATTTACAATTTTAAATGGTTGATTGGTTTTCTAGATATTACTTTGAATATTTAATTTAAATTGACCCAAAACCTAGCTCAAAGCACTTTATCTCTACTCATAAATCAAAATCAAATTAAATCATAATATTATTATGTATCCATGGATACTCACATGATTCAACCTTGCTTCAAAGTCCTCCAGTGAGACTACCGTTGTTCTGAAAGTATAAAATTATGATACAATAAAATATTAATACAATAAAAAAACTGGTGGTAGCCACTGTGTGTTTGCTGAACCATGGAGATCTCTAGGTCCCCAGTCCCATTGCTGCTCTCATTTGTGTTTCAGCTGAAGGGTTGAAATTCAAGTTACAATAGCACACCATGTTTCAAATAAGAGGTTTAAGCCATTGGTTCTGTGTGCAAAATAGCCCATGTGCACGTTATAGAACGCAGTACACTCTTTGGAAAAGAGTAGGGGATTGTCTCCCGGTGTACTGCCCAATCACCACCAGAAGGATCCCACTGGAAATAAGTCTTCGGACTTACCACAGGATAGGATAGGAGTATTTTGGTGTGAATCACATCAATGATAACCGACTGTTACTATAGATTTATAGCATTTAATATTTGAGTTATCTTGGTTATGCAAAAACTGAGAGCGTGTTTTTTGTAATGGTAATGGTTGTACATTTATTAAGCGCATATTACAATAGTCTCTATGCACTTGAAATGCAAAGTCCTGAAAGCAGAAAAATAAAAACCGAGAAATATCCTAAGACTAACAGAGACAAAGAGAAGACAGCAGGAGGAACCAGTGTCACTGCTCTGTTCTCCAGCACTTTGAGGCCCAAATGAATAAGGGCTCGCTGGAACATGATTCACAAGAGCTCTAGTGACACTAGCATCTGACTATCCTATCCAAATAGAAAGGGCAGAAAAGGAAAACAGATTAAAAAGAGCAAAACAGGTGGGTCTTAAGCCTCGTCTTAAACACGGAAATAGATGGCGACTCGCGAACAGTGTCAGGTAATGCGTTCCAAAGCATTAGGGCCACGACACTAAATGAACGCTTGCCAAAGATTTTAAATGGCTGGGCAGACAGTAGAGTATAGATGAACTGGTTGTGGATCTCAGAGTGTGTGAACATGTAGGTCAGATATATACTTAGGTATATACATAATGTGTACGCTCGAAAGAGGGTGCTTGAGGTACAGTAGAAGGAAAACACATTGTATTAAATTTAATATTAAAAAAATAAAAAAATATGATCTGAAATTCTTTGTCCATTCTCTTTTGATTGTGAGATACAGTATATAAACGCATATTTGAAGTGGATAATTTCATAATTTTTAAGATATAGTAATAAGATTCTTCATCACAGATTTCATCACAATGCAAATAATCTCATTTGACTTTCTTGTTACAATACATTACATGGAGGAATAAAACAATTCCATGCACAAAGAGTATCTGTGCTGAATTTATAATCCCTACTATACTGCCTGATCACTTGACCTTATATTTTACAATAGGTTATGGCACATTTGACCTCCAATGGAAGCAGGCCAAATAAATACATCAATGGTTCAACTACAACACTATAAACATGTACAGTATTTATAGCCATGGCATACAAACAGTACAGGAAAAAGCCAATTAAATAAAAATGACTTGGTATACAATTATTACTATTAATATTTATAATAATTATCATGTACTGTACTTAATATAACAATACATACTCCAATGGAATATGGTATCTTCCTGTAGATCTATCTATTAATAAAACGTTTAATTTTTATTTTAGGTTAACATCGAAGGTAAATGTAAAAGTTCTCTATGAGTATATAGCTGAAGCAGATGACACCATGGTGCATGATGCGATTGGGGACACGATGGCGGCGAATACAGTCGACACTGTGGAAGATGGTGCAAGCGCGATAGCGGATGAGGCGCATGATGTGACGGCAGCAGATACTGTGGAAGATGATGCGAGCGCAGTAGCGGATGAGATAGATGAGTGGGTAGAATCACGAGATGGCGGCAGCGGCCTGGGCGACTGTACCAGTAGTGTATGGTGATGATGAGGAAGAGGAGGCAGCGAAGAGAAAGCGTAAACGAAAAGGCACTAAAAAGAAGAAAGCCAAGAAGATACACGTTAGGAAACAGGTAGGCCTTTGTTAAAACTAAATAAGAACAAAATATATGCACATATATATTTATATACATATAACTAAATTTTTCTATGTTAATGGTTAGTTCTATGTTAATGGATAGTAATTCTATTTTTGTTCTTAGGCAGCTACAACCATCATGAACATTTTGTGGAGACCTTGAATTAAGCGAGAGTGACGAGTCGGGTACTGACACATTCACATATCCAATGATTGCTGAGGACCTTGGTCGCCAACAAAGGACGGAGCAGCTTCAGAGAGAAACGAACAAAGTGCTAACTACATCTCTACGGCAGCCAACAAACGATGCTAGCCCCTGGGTAGACAAAATAGAGCATAGAATAAGGCAACTAGAGAAAGCGAATTTGAAGGTACATAAGCGGAATGATGACTTAGAAGCATTGCTGGAAAGCAGCAATTGAGAAATTTCTCAGTTGCACCAGCGTCTAAACCTACAGTAGTCGAAAATTCACATGACGTTTCAATCTCCATAGAAAATGTTAATCCGTCTGTGGTTGATAATTGGCCTAATGTTGATAATGATACTGTGATACCAGACCAACTAAGAGATATGTTGCTGCAATTTACCAAAGGTAGGTTAAAGGTAGTCAAATTGTTCGTTTAGCATTTATTTACTTGTGAAGAAAGACTTAACAGCAACGTAAGTGGTAGGAACGGTGCATTAAGACTAGATCCTAGGCGAATGGAGATTGTGAAGGAGGAAACCTTCAAAATGTTTCATCTGTATGTTTTTCTTTTGGTACCGTACATTGATAGTGTACATACCAAATGATAGCCTGTCGCTAGGCTACCATCGCCATTTTTATTGTTTTCAACAACAACAACAACAATAATAATCACGCTGTTGTACTGTAAGACAGGAAAAATAATGGAAACATGAAAAATTGGTCTAAAATCTACAGTAGCAGAACCCCAAATTGTTTACAGACCCCCAAATTTTTTGCTGACCCCCTGCAGACCCTTTGACCCCACGTTGGGAACTACTGCATAATAATAAAAAACGGAAATTGTACAGTATATAATAGCATCAGTATTTCATGAGAATCTTCTATGATTTTATTTTAATATTTATCATATAATTATAACTAAACTAATACAAACTTTACATTCAGTAAATTACAGTACTGTTAATATTATTTGTACAGTAAGTTGCTATTTGCATAATTTATGTTCATTTTTGAAGAACTGCAATATTGATAACAGTAGATTAATAAATCATCCATTTTTCTTTTTTTTTTAATCAGGAGACATCTAGCATTGTTAGATGATTTACTGTACAACCATTTTCAGCTACTTAATAAAAACACAGAGGAAATGGATGATTACTAAAAAAAGGTCAGGGGTAAAACCAAAAATGTGTGCAGTAAATTACATTGTGTGTATGAAGAAAACACATACCGTATAAAGAGCTGTTTAAAATATTAGATTATAGTATGCAACAAACTAATTCTGCAAACATACTTAAAGAATTCAGATTCCTTCAGTGTTTGTTCATTTATGATACTAATTAAATTTATTCTGCTTAATTAATTAGAAATTCGCATAAACCATCATTGACTGGGTCATTATGAAAATTTTCGCACAATGGTTGAAACTGATACATGTTGATTGAAACCTAACACACAGCCTACATATTTCTCCTGCTTGAGTGATTTTACGATAAAATGTATTGATTTCAGGCACTGCAGTTGGTTGAAAAAAACCATTTTGTAAAAAAAATGCATTCCCTAGTATTAATGAAGCGTAGACTGTAGGGTGATAATGTCAATGTACTATTTTTTGCATCTGCTTGGTATAGTTCTGTCCTTCTGTAACCTACTGTATGAATAACAGTCTATACTCTATATAGTAAAAAATAATTATCAATACCATCAACCACTATTACACCAACAATAATCAATACAACACTTTATTTTTTTTTTTATAAGAACACTGAGGGTGAAATTACTTAAAAATTAAGAACAAATAAGGACAAATTTAGGCTGGGGTATATTTTTTCTTTTAATAAAAAACCCAACAAATCTTATCGGTACCTTATTTGCAGTAGGTGTGACTTGTAATTTCTCTATAATGCAGTACAGTAAAATTCTGCTGTACAATACCAGGGATGATGTACTGTAGTTATGGTGGGTGGGGCCACCTAGCCTCAAAGTTTTCCACCCAGTCTAATGATAATTTCATGGCCCTCCATCCACCCTTATTAACCCACTTTTCCCTCCTTAAAATCTACTCTTTATTATTTAAAGTTTACCATGTTATCGCCCACCCACCCTTAAAAAGGCTATCACGCGCCCTTAGTTTTCTACAGGCTCTACAACCCTGCCATACTGTAACAATTTTTTAACTTAGAAACTTGCGTAAAATAAGAACAAAATAAGAATATTTCGAGTCTGAAATCAGCCAAAAAATAAGGACACTGAGCCAGGGCAAAATTTAACTGGTTCTTCTTAATCTTATAATGTAAAAAAAAGTGTATATTTAAAATTTACTAAAGATAACAAATGATTACAGTAATTTATATATAACTCTTCGTATTAAATTTTTTTATGACACTGGTCTCATCAACACATATTAACCAAAGAGTTCAGCATTTTATGATATGCTGATGACTCATTCAGTATAAACCTCATGAGACACAATGGTACTAATTAAAAACATAATGGCTGTATTGGAGCTATACTTAACCGTGCGAATTTAATTATTTTGAACAGTGGCCTTCTGCTAAAAGCACCATGAAGATGCCAATTAATGTCTAACTATACAGATTCATGTTGTAGGAGACTACACTTACATCGTCTAATGTTGATACTAATGTACTCATTAATATACCATTAGCTTGTGCTTAATAAAATAATTGTAGTTACTGTAGTTTTAAAAGTGCTACCTGTCTTTATACAGTTGATTCCATTACTGTAGAAGAGTTTGGAAAGCCAGGCCTGTTTGTTTATAAATTATTTTTAGGAATGCGAAAAAATGTGTAGCAGTTGGAAGGTACAAGGTCAGTCAGAATAGCTTTTAAGTTTGAGCATGGAGCTATATTATAGCTCTATGGTTTGAGGATACCAATTCTAAAAAAATATACAAAAATAATAATAAGCTCCTAAAGTGGACTTTATGATTCTTTTTTACTATAATCATTTTTTAAAGTACAGACTATTAGTATTAAACTTCTAGTATTTTATATTAATTCATTTATTTGCAACAACTTTAAATGTAAAACCTGCTGAATGTAGGCCTACTGTCAGTATGGTACAATATGTCTCTATACGGTTGCTTTTCAGTTACTCAATTTATATTAATGAAAGTACGATATAGTATCTTTTTTTAAATAAGATTGTTATAGTGCTTGTTAGTATATATACCAACAGCAGTCTGATATCCGCAACTGTAGTGTATGTCACTGGTCAATCTACAGGACCGTTCGGTAGGTATATTCTCTCAGGTCATTGGTCATGCATGCTGGGACAGACAATGTGATGACGTCCAAAATCAGACTAAAGTCTTGCACCAAGGCTGTGGTGTGTAACATCCTGTCTTTTGTTTAATTACTCCTTCAATGTTGGAAATATCGTTCAGTCTACTGCACTGTTTATGGCTCTTGAAGCCCTCCTTGCTTTTTGTTGCAACGTCTTCCCAACATTCCTCTCCTGCCCATGTGCATTTTTTCTTTTTTCCTTCTAGAATCCAGCTAGTATACTGCACTCCCCCTTGGAACAATTATTCTTAAGCTAATTTGCATATAGAGTAGTACACTATTATTATGATAAACTAAATGATCAGAATTGGTTTGGAGAAACAACTACATCATAATTGTAAATCATTAAATCAATTATAAGATCATCTCAAATATTCCAGGACATCAACTGATTCACAGTCCAAGCAAAAAATTAAAAAAAAAAGAAAAAAAAGAATAAATTTAAGAGATTATCTCACAGTCCATGCAGAAAAATAATAAAATAAATAGATTATAATAAACAATAAATCAATCACTCAAATTCTTCAAAAGGTTACAAGATAATAAAAAAGATATTAAATTAATAAAACAAATTAAAAAGAGATTAGGCCCTATAAAAAATATTATTAGTTTATCACCCTATCTGGGCAGGAAAGTGATGAGGGAGGGAGGCTTTTTTTTTGTTTTTTGGTAAAGCCAAATACCACCCTTGGGTTGTTTGCTGGTGCATTGATATTCAAAGTAAAACGTGATTTAGGTATAATGCAAACAATATCTACTAACTATTTAATAAAATAAATGAAAAAAAAAAAAAAAAAAAAAAAAAAAATTTCAATTTTTTTTTTTTTTCCAGTACCATAGAAGACATGCGCGTGGAGGTGATAAACTAATAATTTTTTTTATTGGGCCTTATTTCCTTACCTCTTTGCTCTCTCTAGGTCATCATTCATTTGCTCTAATTCTCGTATATATTTTTGAAGCTCATCTTTAATAGCAGTAATCTGTGCTAGGGCATCTTCTAATTCGCTAATTTGTTTTAAATATCCTCGTTGTGAAACCTCAAGCTTTTCCTAGTAAGAACAAAACAAAAAAACAAGTTATTGAAACTCTATTTTCAAAGAGCTTTTAATTTGAGGGAAATTCCAAACTAGAAAAGTGAACTTCCTTGTCTTTAATAAAACTCTTCAAAGTCTGGCTCCAGAGTTATACAACTTTTTTTTCTAAGACACAAAAAGCGTATTTGACGAAAAACCCGTGAGCGGTTAATGAGATACAGATTTTTGAACATTTAAACTTTGGGAGGAAAGGGGCGTAACCACCATTTTTTCACCTTTTTCCCTCAGTTTTTAAATATTAAAAAATCTTTATCTCAACCGCTCACTAGTTTTTCATCAAATATTTTTTTTGTGTCAGTAGTTAAACATATAAAAAATTGTTTTTCTCTAGAGCCCAACTTTCAAGTCCATTAACTATCTGTAATGCCAGAAATCTTTTTTTTTATATAAAGGGTGAACCTTCCAGCTTATGCTATAAGGTCGGCTGATATTCAAGGGCCACCTCAAAAATAGATGAAATATTGTGATGCTTTTATCATCGAAGTCTCTTTATGAGGCTTACCCTGTAGGGAGTTTGTTTGCAGTCATGAGAAAAAGTCATGCTGTCACAGGAACCAATGCTGTAGCCAGGATTTTCAAACAGTGTGGGACAATATCAGGGTGGACCCACTTTACAGTACGCTTAAATTCAAATAATGTGAACCTATTTTCTTAAACGTTGTCCCATTTTACGAAAAAATATGAATAATCTAGACCCATTTTCTTAAATTGATCCATTTTACACAAAATATGAGAAATCTGGATCCATTTCTAATGGACCCATTCTTCGTGGACTCCATAGAAACATTGTGTTGGGCTGTCCCAACTGTCCCAATAGCCGGCTACGGCATTGATTGAACCATGACCCTGGGATTAGAAGGCAAGCATCTTCACTCCTGCTCTATCCATACTGTCACAGTTCTTGTGACAAACTTGTGTGGTTTGGGCATGATGCTGTCACATTACACCCAAATACGGGCATCACAGTTACAGTTTGTCACATAAAATCTGATAGTTTGAACAAAGATCAAGAACGCGTTGCTGAGGGCTCGTAAAAACAAAAAAAACCAAAAAAAATGGAGCACTTTTTGTACTGCTAATTCACTAGCAGATATTTCTACAGTAACCTTTGCTCCACACTACTAATTTAGTTTCAATAGTGTTTAATGAAATGCGCCGACATGAAAGAGGTCAGAAAATGTAGGGCTATGTTGGCCGCACGACGCAATCATTGATGTTTGAACTCTGAGAATGCAGACAATCAGAGTAATATAGAGTATTAGTCAATCCATCTAATAAATGACAAGGATCTTTATACAGCAGGTGTTATAATCACAACATACTAATGTTTGTATTTCATATACTGTAATGACTGTTTGCAATTTGTATTAGAAAAGAATATTAATATATGTAGAACACAGTATTTTCCTTCAAGCCCAGCTCAGCAGGAAAACTAAAAAAATTGATATTTTGAACTACAGTACTGATATATACACAAAAAGCATATTTGACAAAAAAACTCGGGAGTGGTTAATGAGATACAGACTTTTGAATATTTAAAAACTGGGTGTGGGGGGGGGGGGGGGGGGGGGAGGTGAAAAAAAAGGTACTCTAGTTACAACCCTTCTGCTCCCCGCTTCCACTCACCCTGGCTTTCAGTAAAATTCTGTTTTCACTACTGTACTATATGTTTGTTTAAATGGAATATTCCATCTTTTATCCCAGGAAAACATGAATCTATTTTGTTGCACTTACAAATTTTCATCATTTGTATAATATACAATGGATAGCTTTTTGAGGTCTCAACTAAAAATCGTGACATGTATTTATAGGAATTGTCTTACCTTGAGAGATTCAACTTCCATCTGCTGTCTTTGGTTACTGGCAGTTAAGTCTTTGATCTTAGCCTCAGCGTGCTCTAGCTGTGTCTCCAATTCTGCTTCTAACTCGCGACTGCTTATCTGATATTCTTCAAAGTCTTCCTTTGTTTCCTCAAGACTATGGCGGAATTAAAATGCAGAAAGAAATATAGCGTGAAAATAGTGAAATGGTTTACGAGCACACATTCATAGATTGTGAATAAAATTGACAGTCAGTAATCAAAACTAATATTCAGATGATAGATATTCCACATTGTGAGAATGCATCAGGAATCGATAAAACACCAGAAATTACCAAGCTGAAATGCTGCATAATTTTGAATTTTATTATTAATACTACTCTGCATTTAAATTTATATTGTACAGATTCTTTATGAAATTCATTGCGTATAATACATAATTACAAATTCAGAATGCTACGTATACTATATTATTTAGTATATTTAGCAACATGTGTGACCTGAAAAATTCATAATGAAATGTAAACAAAAACACATATCTTGTCTGTATGCTAAGGATTGTCACAAGCGTGACCATTTGTGTATATAGAGCGGTGAGGTTTGCATTCCCCCAGGCTCCCCGCCCACTGCCGTATCGTCTCATTCTCCCCAAATACTGTAGCGGCTCTCCTTCTCCCATGGCGCAGCCGCATCAGCCTGACCTTGTCAATATTCAGAGATACAGTATACAGTATGCTGCCATTGAGAGTAATGAATAACTTATTGAAAATCCTATTAATATTTTACAGTAAAACTGTACTGTGGGAACAATCAATAGATCAGTATACAGTTAAACTTGCCTAAGTCGACTTTATGCCTAAAAAGTCGATCTAATTTTTAATGGCAAATTGTTGTAAAGTACCAAAATGTAATTCTACTGGAGTAGAACGTTACATGATGTTGTTTCCATTAGCGTTGTTTACGGTCATTAGGGGGAGGGGGGGAAGCGGCATTTACTCAAGGGAGCCGTCTATTCCAAATGAGGCAGTAACAAAAGTACCTAACACCATCGAGAACAAGTGATAAAGTACTGACTTACAGTAGTACCACAAAATTGTAACAAAATACACTGTATAGTACTACAAATGGACACTACATTTACAAGTTTTCACTTGCAAAGTGTTTCATGAACCCATTTCTACAAGGCTTGTGAGAACACTGTTTTAATAGTTGTGTCATTTTAATATAAAGAAACATATTGTACAGTACACTACTTTCATCAAATATAAAATACCAGAGAAAAATACAGACAGAACAGAAAAGTCTTACTTCTCAAATCCACAAAATAGACTAGACAGGAACAACAAACATCCTACCTAAATACCCAAAATATGCTGGTGCACTGAACGACTCTCTTGCACTACGGTACTGAAACTAAATTGGTTCAGAAACACCAAATATATAAATCCTCAAAGACAGGAGTTGACAAATGTCATGCTTTTTCAATGTCTTCAAAAACTGTAGCTACAGAGAAATGTTTAGACAGAGATATACCTAGTAATTGAACATAATACATCAATGTGTTTCTGCTCTGAGAGGAGACAGATTTAAAGGAATATGCAATCAATAAATTGTGTTTATTTTCCCCACAGAAATCCTCAATTGTCATCATTTTTTTTTTTATATTCATCATAACATTAACCGTAACGTCATTACAAATTTACTGATCCTCATGCATAATGACTGACACTTGGGACCTGATAATATGGTGAGGAAGAATGTTCAGGAAATAAGTGATAAAAAAGAAAGAAAAAAGTCTGCCAGCAAGTAACATTATCCACATTTCAATGCTCTTAGTCTGATCTGTAAATTTTCCACATTTATACAAGAAATATTTCATTAGGTATATTTTATAGTCATGAATTATATTTGAAGCTTTTAGTAGATCTAAAAATCTTGATAGTGCTTTCTCAGTATATACAGTACAGTACATGTAAATTAAATTAAATATGATAATATAACTTAATTTCACATTAATAAGTATATGCTTATAATAACACTGTAAAAGCCTAACACACACACTGTACAAACGAAATTACAAACCATATTTAAACCATAATTTATCAATCAATTTATAGATTGATTGTATTTATTTACAGTATACTGTATAACTACTTAGTACTGTTTTGTAATTATGTGACATTATATCTTTTTATTGTTCACTTGTCATTTGTAATTTACAGGTACCCACCCACACACAACTTTACAGGTACCTGCAGAGCTATAATGATGATATTCAAACTGTGAATTTTATTGGGGTTCTGGGAAATAAGGTCCCCGGCCCCTACAAAAATTGGGCAATTTTGGACATTTTAGTAGCTGATACTGTGTCGTTTTAAAATGTACACTATGACCAAAATTTAAAAAAAACAATTTATAATATGTAAAATAATTTTTCCTTATCTGATTTGGCATGTCCACCATCAGAACTTAAAAACTCCGACCCCAATTAGATGACTACAGTACTACTTAGTGCAGTACTCTAATTTTCAATACAGTAATCAATACATACAGTAATATTAAAAAAGACACCAAAATCTCATGCTACCAGCATGTCAATCACAATGGAATAAATAAACTACAGTCAATCAATCAATCATTTTTATTCATCAAAAGCAACACAAATGTTAAATAGCAACATAATAAAAAAATTACAAAGATGAAAGGGACCACCATCAAACCCCATATATATATATATATATTTGCCAGGACAACCAAACTCTAGGTGGAGCTCAAAACAGAGGCAGAGGCTATAATAAACTTTTCTGTAAAATATACTGGTGATACAATAGTCACAATATTGTTGTACTACTGTATGTAATGCTGCTATCAGCAAAGGGCTGTTCATGGATGTTCAACAGCAGAGGCTGCAGGAACACTGACATTTTCCACAAGATTAAGCAAATCATCTCTTGCATCATCATAAACCATAGAAGCGAGGAAATTTGAATTTTGTCATAAAACCAACTGGAAATACTGTCGACCAAAAATTTGATATTCTTTATTATGAGATGTCTGGTGGTAGAGACAATTCACAGATAATTTGAACAAGTTTGCTTGATGATGAATATGATTCTTCTTACTGAAAATGATGATGATTTGATGATGGAATGATGATGATAATGATGATGATGTGATGATGATGATGATCACAATGATGACGCTGCTCATAATGATGACAACACTGTATATGATAATGATGGTAATGATGATTATGATGATGATAATAATGATCCTATTCCTAATGATAATTAATAATAAAGATCGATATTATAAACAATCAACAACAATGTATCGACATAGCACCTCCACAACTGAAAGCTGATACTCTATGGAATTGATAAATCTGACAGCTTACCTACTAATCACACCTAATGAGTGTGAATCGGATAATATTTAAAAAATCACTATTTGTCGAAAAGATGTCCTGAGTACAGTACTTTGCTCTTCCTGTTTAAAGTTCAAAGCATTTTCCAAGAAACACATTAAACTTGATATAAAACCAACAAAACTTCAGTGAAAATGCCTTAGAAGAATTGCATATCTGTATGTTTACTATGCAAGCGATGTACGAGTGATGGGAGGCGAGTGAAATAATTGATCGTTGGTAACAGGCTTCAGCACCATCGGCAACAGTGCTTAATCATGCATGACTTCTAACGAGTGATTCAAAATAAAGCAGGGGTTAAACTTGGCGTCATTCCATATTAATTGGACAATCTGTGTTAAGTATTTATATCAGTGAATCTATAATTTACCAAAATTTACAATGAACTTTCCACTTTCCAGTGAAATAGCTGTGGAATTTATTGTAAATTAATATGGAAATTCCATTTAACTTTAAACTATAGTAGTATTGTTTACTTTACTGACATTCTTGTATTATTTACGGTATTAACTATTTTCTTTTAACGATTACATACAGTAAACTTCGAATAATAACACATAATATTTTAATTGACTTTTAAATAAAATAACATCAAGAATTTTCACTTGATTCTTGAATACACATTACGAACAATACAATAATTATTTTAATTTTTTAGGTTTTTTTTTTTTGAGATTAATACTGTAGTAGTACCTTTATGATAATTCATATATTTATTTATCTTTTTCATTTAGTTTAACTTCCTACTGTACAATAAAGGGATTCGCTGTTTCGGAGATTTACTTCACCTGCCTTTTATTTATTTTTTTTTTCTTTGTTTTATATGAAGTGCTTTTGTTGCCAAGAGAATTTGAAAAAACAAAAAATAAAAATACTTAAGATAACAACTTTTGAATGATTTTATTCCAAAAACGAATGTTAAATCAATTTTTAAACTTTGATCGATCCAGTCATATTAGTGTCATGTACTGGAAAATTTGATTCATGAATATTCATGAGCCTTGACTTGTATAATTTAACGAAGGTTATTGCACTGGGATGCTGTTTAGTCCCTGAATGCGAATTGCTTATTAAAGATTCCATAAATATAAATGATTTGCTTCCTTTGCAATTTATTATGCAACAGCATGGTATCATTAATTCATCAATTTGCATTATCTTTGGAACATTGTTAACAAAGACTACAGAATAATACCATACTGTATACAGTACTTTAGCTGCTGTTCAACAAAATAAATACAGGTAATGGTACTTACAAAATGTGTAATTATAATATTACTGTATTTATTATTTTTAAACCAATTTTATGTGACCAAAGACAATAGGCTCTTCTCCCCTATACCCATCACTTTTATTAAAATCCAAGATCTTTTAAAATAAAATGATTAATTGATTATGCTCATACTTACTGTACATTGTACAGCAGAACAATTTTTAAGTTTTACCAAATACGGTATAAATTATTCCTAATTTGTTTCCACTACTACTGTATAGTATCTCTTGATAAACCAACAACAATTTGTAGGATTTACCAAATTTTAAAAAGAAAGATTTTAACCAAACTGTTTAATTAATTAATCATTTAAAATTGTATGTTCTTGGTGGTGCAAGTAAAAAAAAAGTCAATATGGAAGAATACATACAGTGCAGGTACAGTACTGTATGTAATTTGCAAAAAAAAAAGAATGGAGTATAATAAATAATTCATTCATTTTATGAGACCTACTGTAC